CTGGGGAGATAATATACAGCTTGGTGACTATAGTTAACAGTACTGTACTGTAAACCTGAAAGTCACTAAGAGTAGATCTTAAATGTTCTCACCACCACCACCAAAAAAAAAAAAAAAAAAATTATGTTAGGTAATGGAAGTGTTAACTGCCGTTGTGGTCATTTGCAATATGTTGTGGAAGCATTTGCAATATACATGGTATGGAATCATGTTGTAGTCAAACTTATACAATGTTACATGTCAATTATATTTCAGTAAACTGGAAAAAAATATGGCCTCAGAGCCAAATGATCTGGCTCTGAATCTTGGTTTTACCCCTTCATAGCTGCGTGACCTCAAATAGGCGTGTTTTAATGTCAGTCTCTATCTGTAAAAAAGGAATAAAGCCGTGCTGTTGTCCTAAGATTATTGTGAGGATTAAATTAGGTTATTTCTGCAAAACACTTTTTTTGTGCCTGCCACATAGAAATGTTAATGTCATGTCAATGTACCCTGTTTCTCATGCCACAAATTTAGAGGTCTTTGACAACATCAATCTAATCCATCGAGCAAGTCGTATATATTCAGGACATTCCCCAGTTTGCCATTTTCTGCCATCTTGACTGTTGCCACTTTGTTTCAAGCCAACATCATCTTTTACCTGACTATGGCACAGCTTCCTAACTGGTCTCCCTGCTTCTACTTTCGCTACGTTAGCAATCTTCTCTTCTCCAAGAATAGAGTGTTCTTTTTAAAAACATACATTTGGGGTTGTATTATTTATTTCTACAAAATAAATTACCCCCCAAATTAATGGTTTAAAACAACAAACATTTATTATCTTGGTTCCATGTGTGAGGAATTTGAGAGTGGCTTACTTGGGTGGTTCTCAGATCCATGCTCGCTGTTGGTCATGGTTCCTGGTCATGTCAGCCTCTGCATCAGGCTGGTCAGTTGTCTTCACAACATGGCAACTGGCTTCCCCTAGAGTGAATAATCTCAAAGAGAGGGTAAGATGGAAATTGAAATGTCTTTATTGCCTGCCCTTAAAAGTAGCATATTGCTAGTTCTTCTTTATTCTATTAGTTATAAATTCAGCCTATATTCGGAAGGGAATGAATCAAAGGGAGAAATAGCAAAGGATTTGTGGAAAAATTTTAAAACTTCCGCTCTCTACCCTCTGACCACAAATTGTTTACATTCTTCTCACTTACAAACTATATCCCCAACCCTCCCAAAACTCTCATGTCTTTACAGCAGGGATCCCCAAACCCCTCAGGCCACAGACCAGTACCAGTCTGTGGTCTGTTAGGAACTGGGCTGCACAGCAGAAGGTGAACGGCAGGCAGGCCAGCGAAGCTGCATCTGTATTTGCAGCCACTCCCCAGCACTAGCATCACGGCCTCAGCTCCACCTCAGATCATCAGGCATTAGATTCTCATGGGAGCTCTGATCCCTGGTGCCAAAAAGGTTGGGGACCACTGCTTTATGGCATTAGCTATAAATCTAAGATGTTGGCATCTAATTCTGATTCAGACGAGGCTTCTTGTTTGTGGTAGTTCCTTAAGTGGAGCACCTTGGGTATAGTTCCTCATGATTTGAAGTCCCATGAGCTAAAGAGACAAGCTGTTTCCCAGACACTCAACTTACAGTGGTAGGACCGGCATAGGATAACCATTATAGACATTTTTGTTAATAAAAAAAAAAAAAAAAAGGTCTTCCCCCAAAACCCAGGAAGATAGGAGGCATAGGATAACATATACTTCTGTTTGAAAATGGGGAAAAAAGGACCCACTGGTTCATAGCATTCCAAAATCCACCCAGGCACAGATTAGCAGTTCCTTGATTAAAACTCAAGGACTGAGAATAATTCTTCATGGCCCTTAGTGCTGCCCTATGTTTCACCCTTTTTCATGAAAAGCAGAGTATGTTAGCAGCTTCATAGTTTCTCAGCCTACTCCCTGCTTTTGGAAGTTTGTGGGTACAAAAGCTTAAACGTTTTTATTTTGTACTGATCTATCTCTTTCAGTCCAAATTGGTGGTGTTTCTACCAACATAATCATCTTAAAGTTTTATGGGTGTCTCGCGAATCTTATTGGGCTCACTCCATTAGACGAGCCATACCCACAAATCTCTTTATGATAAGCCCTACTCTAACTTGGGCTTCTTTTGGGACTCTTGAGGGGCAAAAGCTTCTCCTTAAGCTTCTTAGGAGACCTGTTTTTTAACCAAATGGATCCATGGCACACCACCTTGAATCTTTCTAAAATCTTAACGTAAGATTTTAATAGTCACACTATTAGTTTCATCTTTAGACCTTGTTTTCTTGACAGTGCCCTGGATTTTATTATCGCCTGGGAGCCATGCTTAACTTTAGCATCACTTGCCATCTGGAGAAGCTAGAAATTTTCAAATCTAGTAAGTCCTGGCTTCTTTTTACTTAGCAGTGTTTCCTTTAGCTCCTGCCTCTCTTCTTAAAATTTACTATAAGCAAGAAGAAACCAGGTGGCACCTTCAAAATCTGCCTTGAAATCTCCTTAGCTAGATCACTCATTCCATTAGGTATATTTTCTAACTTCCACATTATTGAGGATGATTTTCTGCCACTACATAACAAGGATCCCTTTTCATCCAGTTTCCAAAAAGATTTTTCTCACTTTCCTATAAGCCTTCAAACCTCCTCAGTGGTTATCATATTTCTACAAAGTTTCTTCAACATTCTTTTAACTTTTACCAACTCCTCAAAACTCAAAGTTTGTTTGGCTTCCAACGCCTAATTTCAGAGCCACTCCCGTATTTTAGGTTTTGTTACAGCATTGCCCCGGTTCCGGGTACCAAAATATATATTAGTTATCTATTAATACATAACAAGCTACCCCAAATGTAGTGCCTTAGAACAATAAACATTTATCATCTCACGGTTCTTTTGGGTTAAGAATTCTGCAGTGGTTTACTTGGTGGTTCTGGATTAAGGTCTCATGAGATTGAAATCAAGATATTGGCTGGGCCCACAGTAATCCCGGTGCGTGGCTGAACTGAGGCTGGAGAATCTGTTCCCAAGTTCACTCATCTGGCTGTTGGTAGGAGGCCTCAGTTCTTCCCTCTCTTGGCCAGAGACCTCAGTTTCTTACCGTGTGAAACTCTCTGTAGGGTTGCTTAAGTGTTCTCCACAATATGGTAGCTGTTTTTCTCCCACAGTGATTGATCCCAGAGAGAGAGTGTGTGAGATGGAAGTCACAATGTGTTTTATGACCTACCCTCAAAATTACTCCATTGTTTCTACTTTATTCACTGGAAGTGAGTCACAAGTTCAGCCCATACTTAAAGGGAGAGAAATGAGCTTCCACTTCTTGAAGGGAGAAATATCAAAGAATCTGTGAACACATGTAAAAACCACTACAGAGATTGTATCATTTTTCTACTTAAAAATCATTCAGTGTCTTCCTACCATACTTAGAATAAAATACAAACTCTTTACTCCAATTCACAGCTTTACATGGCTGATCCATGCCTACCTGTTGGATATTGGTTTTACACTTGCCCTCTTGCCCACCATTCTTTAACCACTTCTGGTCTTACCTCATTTCTTAGGGCACCCCCCCTTTTTTTTTTTAAAACAAATCATTTCTTCTCCCTAGAATGCTTTGTCTCCTGATGTTTGCCGGCCTATTTGATATCATTTAGATTTCAGCTTAAATATCATTTTCTCATGAAAGATCACCTAATCTCAAGTAGCTACACAGATATTTTCTATCACATTATCCTATTTTAATTTGCATAGCATTTATATTAATTTTTGTTTGTTTGTTTATTTATGTGATTGTTGTGTTTTCCCCCACACTAGAATGTAAGTTCCATGAAATCACGGGCCTTTCTTGTTCATTGCTGTGCCATCATTGCCCAGAGTTTTATTTGGCTTATGATAAGTGTGCAACAAATATGTTTTGCATGATTGAATTATTGTAATTCTACTAGACTGTTAGCCAGATGGGGGCAGGATTGTGTCGGTCTTGTTTACTGATGCATCCTCAGGACCTGGCATCTAGGAAATACTGAAAGGTTGAAAACCAATGTAATAGATGAGGAAATTTAGAGATTAAATATATTTCCCTAGGTCATTTATCTAGTAATGACAGAGCCAAGGCTCAAACCCAGGAATTCCTGATTCTAAACTATTAAGGCCATAATGTATAAAGTGCTTGACACACCGTGGTTGCTCAAAGAGTGATTTCTTTCCTCTTCCTTTAATTCTCTATTCTAGTCTTTGTTAATATATTTATATAAATCATTTAAAAATTATGCTTATTGTGTACTATTTGGGATCTACATTTTGTATGTAACATTCTTGAAATATATTTATGTCAGCAAAGTTCATGTACAGACATTTTGAAGGTTTATATTGGTTTCAACCAACTTGTCACTTTTTGTATTTTATTTCAGGGCCTCGAACCAAGTATTCAAATTCTTGGTATTTACTTTGAGTCTACAATAAAACTTAGAGAAGTATAAAATAGATTATAATGGTCATTCTCAGTATCTAATTTCAGTAAACATATATGGCACATATAGCATTTTGTAGAACCTGTGCACTTGTGTTAGGCAGCGGAGTGGAATGCAAGGTAAAGAAGATGCTGTCTCTACCCTCATGACAACTCAAGTCGTAGTAGAGGAGACTAGACCTGAAGTGCTTTGATTTTTCTGGGATTCTTTGTAACGATCTATCCTCTCTTACTTTTCTCCTGTCTTTAAGATTTACTGAAATATCTGGGGGGATTCTGGAACTCTATGCCCCAGATGTCTGCACTCGGGTAAATTTTTAATTGTTATTAATATAAGCATTGTCTTGAGGAGAGGTGGCAGCATGCTTTGCTCGTCGCCTCTGGGTTGAAGCGTTAAACTGTCAGTTTAGTCTATGAGGCTGGTCTAGAGTGCCAGGCTTAGCTTCCTTGGCCTTTGTGATATAACTTAAAAAAAAATAAAAGTTATTGAGATAAAATTTAAGCAAGTTACTTTATCTTTTATTTTTAGATCACCACACTTATTAATCATAAACATAATACCAAAAAGTCTGATAAAACTCTGCAAGCAATTCAGCGTGTAGGACAAGCCGTCAACTTGGCAGTTGGAAGATTCGTTAAAGTAGGGGAAGCTATAGCCAATGAAAACCGGGATTTGAAAGAAGAAATAAATATTGCCTGTATTGAAGCTAAACAAGCAGGTATGTACATATTGGTACTAAAGCCAATTATAGCAATTTTATGGCAAATCGTCTTATTTTGAGCAAGATGCGTTGTATTTGGTTATATCGTCAAGGTGGAGCCGATAGGATTTGCTGATAGCTTGGATGTGAGTTGTGATGGGAAACAGTTGTGGATGACTCCAAGGTTTGGAATACAAAGAGTGTGGGTAAATGATGGTGCTATTTACTACAGTGGGCAATCGTGAGGGAGGAGCAGGTGATTCTGGAGAGTCACCATCGGGGAAGGGAGTGGGTGAGATGAGGCTAAGCAAATACAGAGAAGCCAACCGGATCATCCATGACATGATACGTTATATGAATGACTTTGGGTATTAGTCTATAGATGGTAGATAAGGGATTTTGAGCCAGATGAAAGACATATAGTTTTGTGTTAGAAATATTTCTGGTAGTGTGGAGGAAATGAACAAATGAGGGCCAATTGAGAGAGTTGAGACTAAAGGCAGGGAGATTAATTATGGAATAAACCAGGCCAAACCACGGCAGTGTCTAGTTATATAAAGAGCGGGAGTACACAAAATACTCATTAAGGTAGTTAAATAGATAGAAATTGGTTATCGATTAAAAGAAAGGGAAGATTCTGGATTGAGTCTCAGGTTTCTAGTCATTTGCTGGGGGTAGAGAATAGATTTTATGTAGAATACAGGGGATGGCCTTATTCTAGTCATAATTTATATTTTGTCTACATTTTTAAAAGGATTTGAAATAGTTTTCAATTAAAGATATGTCTCAGTAAGTCTATTAAAATAGGAGATGAAGATAAATATACTAGAAACTTTGGCCAACACTGTTACTCTAATTAAGCATGAAATTTATCTTTGTACTTCCTGGAAGGCAAGACAAAAATGTGGGAAAGATAGGATTATATAATTCTCATTGTTTGTTGAAAGGAAACAAACCAGCTTGTCAAGAGGAGAGTGACTTTTTTTCCTGGCACTAAATTATTGTGTGGGCACTTGTACAGAAGACATTACATAATACAATGGACAATTCAATAGAAAATGTAGAGAGATGTTTTTCATATTACTGTTTCTTATAACAACCTTTAATTAATGCAAGAGGAGGGTTTTGTTTTTGTTTTCTTTTAATGGAAGGGCAACCTGAGTCCTACCTACCTCATTGGCTTTTAGCGTGTCACTGTGCTCAGTGTACGGTGAGAACTCAAGAGGACATGGTACACTGACCCAAGTAGACTCTGGTACTCTGCAAATACTGTAAGCCCACTCAGCCCCATACGACAGTCTTCAGAAGCCATCTAATGCCGTGGGCTCTACATGTTACCTCTTCTCATTTGAGATATCCTTTCCTTTCTTGAGAACTGCCTCTTGTAGTCACTCAGGTAAGAGAATGAAAATGCATTTGTGGTGACTCTCCTGGGGTTATACAATAAAGAAGTCTATTTTCGCTTAAGATGTACAAATCTAAGACTTAGATCACTCCTGAAATGTTTCTAGCCCACTCAGCCAATAGTAGTTATTTTCTCCTCTGGACATTTTGTATTCGAGGAAAATAATATGCACTAGAGATAAATAACTAAGTCTTTGGAGTCAGACCGCCTGGATTTTAGTCCCAACTCTTTCACTTGCTAGCAGTGTGATATTGGGCAAGCTACTAAACTTTTTAAAACCTCAGTTTTCTTATCTATAAAATAGGGATAATGTTAATGTTTATAGAAGTGATATGATATAATAGACATAGGAAATGCTCAATAAATAATCATTGTCATTATAATCATTATTTTTTACTTTTCCTGTGTTGTTAAACTCTTGTGTTTTTACTTTTTATTTAGGTGGCTACTAGTCAAGTTTTATATTTTATATGGGAGCTTGATAAATATTTGTATTTAACTGACTTTGGGTTTCCTCATGAAGGTACAACACTAGCTAGTCACACATAAATTTAAAATGACAACCATGATGCTCTGTGACTTTTCTAGGGAACTAAATTCTGAACAGTCTACACCGACCGACTTTATAATGTTAAGGAAGCATTTAACCACGTTGGTGGAGCAGACCAAATGGTACCATCCCACGTACTCATAAGTTAAATGCCTGGGGTTTAGTCAGAAAGAGGAAAGATTAAATAATGCCATATGTGCAGGCTCATGTGTAATATTTTTGGTTATTGAGAGCCAAAAATACAGAAAAAAAAGTAACATTTTCCAAAAGCACAGAGGAAACATTTTTATCCTTTCAGCTATTGCTGATAGAATGCAAACTGATACTTGTTTCTCCTGCTGCTTGCAGTATGTACTAAGGTTTAATTCTAAACTCTTTTCTCTATATATTTTGCTACATAAACTTTGTGTTTGTTACCTGTTGCTGTGTAACAAATTAACCTGAATTTAGCAATTTAAACTACAAACATTTATTACCTCACATTGTTTCTGAGCGCCAGGAATCGGGAAGTGGCTTAACTGGCTGGTTCTGAGTCTGTGCCTTTCATGAGGTTGCACTCAAGGTATCGTCTGTACCTGCAGTTATCTGAAACCTTGACTAGGCTGTAGGATCTGCTTTCAAGCTCATTTCATGATTGTTGGCAGGCTTCACTTCTTTGTAACTGTTGACCAGAGGTCTCAGTTTCTCCTCATGTTTGTCTCTCTGGAGTAACAACTGCTTATGACATGGTAGCTGCCTTCCCCTAGACAGAGAGAGAGCACAACCAAAATGCTGCCTCGGTGTCTTTGATGCCTCTGCTATACCAAACTTGGTAAGATGTAGAAGGGGCGAACACAAGGATGTAAATGCAGGAGGTGGGGGTCGCGGAGAGCCATCTTGGAGGCTGGTTATCACACACTCATCTATTAGATGTAGAGCTTCAGCTGTTGCCACGACATTTAACCAGTCCATATCCAGTGCTTATCATTTAAGTTTTTCTGTGCCATTTCAAATTCATGTTGTCTGAAACTAAACTTATCATCTCCTTTCCCAGACCTTTCTGACTTTATCTAAGTGACTTAGGTTCACAATCTTGAAGCCATTTTTTTTTCCCCCACTTTTCCTTTCCTTCTTATCATAGTTCAGGTACTAATTTTTTATTTTCTTTTCTCAATATCTCCCAAATCATCTTTTTTACATCTATGGCTACCATGCTAGTTAGATCATTACTACTTCACACCCACAATTGGGATTGCTGTCTGAGTAGTACTCTGATTTTAAGTCTCCCGTTTCAGGTCTATTTTATAGGCTTCCATCAGGCAGATCTTCTTAATCATAATTTTCATTATGTCACACCCTGTGCTCTATGCATTAAAATTCAGGTACTTTTCCTCAAGATCCTTAGCCCATGGGCAGATACATTCATTATTGGGTGTCAGTAGTATTGACAAGAAGGTTTTTGTGAGAAAATCAATCCATTATGCACTCAGGTTTATTTAGGATTTAAAAAATTATCTTGTACATTACAAGATGATTAAAAGTTTATTATTATTTTTTTAATCTCGTTAAGTTAAGAGTAAGGTTTAGAAAAAGTTACAGCCTGGTTTCATTTTTAAGGAATAAATATTTGTATTGTTTTAGCAATTGATAATTGCTATCATAGAGGTCAAAGGATTTTAATAGCAACAGTGAAGAAGGGACTTTTCCTAGAGAGTTGGGAGTTCATTTGGTAGAGTGGTTTATGCCGGGCATCGTAAGAAGGATAAATTCAAACAGTAAGCCTGAGTGAGGGTCTGCTTGTGGTTTGAACTCTCAGGAGGAATGCTTTCATTTTGTTTTGTTTTCCCACCCAGAGCCCAAGGTGACCAACAGATGAACTTGCTTATTATTTCCTTTTGCCTGTTGATGATTCTTCTAGATCCTCTTTTCACTGAGGATGCCTCCTGTTGGGCCCCAAAGCCTTGTCTTCTCTCCCTCAGTGTCCATAAAAACCCAACCCCTTCAAGTCGTGGAGATGGGCAATGACACCCCCCCCACACAGATGCCCCCTCCATCCCCCAGCCCCCTCATCCAAAGTCTTGGCAGCTGCTCACTGCTCTACTTTTAGGTTCTTCTTTGGTCATTGGATCCTGGGATTTCTCTTACTATCTTATAGAGCAGGAGGCTTTTTAGATCATGTAGTTTACCATACCGCTGGAAACAGAAGTTGTAATATTTTCTAAACTTGATAAAGACAGAAATGTTTCACAATTCTTAAGAAAGTGTTGATCTTGTTGAAGCTTTTTTTATTTCCTGAAATAAGACCCCAAAGCTGAGTTTCCACCCATTGTGCACATTACCTTTGAGATTAGAGAGAAGTCTGGATTTTGATTTAAGTGTGTCTTATTCCCAATTTAACTTTTCTCCCTTGCCTTTCTTGTTAGGAGAAACCATTGCAGCACTTACAGATGTAGGCAGCTTGAATCACCCAGAATCTGATGGCCAGATCACAATTTTTACAGACAAAACGGGAGTTATAAAGGCTGCAAGATTACTTCTTTCTTCAGTGACAAAAGTGTTGTTGCTGGCAGACCGAGTGGTCATTAAGCAGATAATAACATCAAGAAATAAGGTACTTGCTTTCTGGTGTTTCTATACTAGATCTTTCAGAGTTATTAAAGAAGTGGTGTTTTTTTTGTTGTTGTTGTTTTGTTTTTTTAGGTTAATTGCAGGTAATTTTGGCAATGCTTGTCTATTTTAATTGTTTATAATGCTAATTGTCTATAGCTTAAAAGTGGTCTTTCTCTATATTGGTAATTCCTAAACAATGTGTGTACTGGGCCTAAACTTTTGAATGCAAATAACGTTTCTTCTCAGAAAACCATTATCTACTTGTCGAGGCTTAGTGGTGAAAGCTTTTCCTGTGTACAAATTCAGGAAGAAAAGCTAAGCATCCTGACAATGTATGTAGTAGAAACCTAGTTGATAAAAATACTGAATTCCTCAGTGCCTTTTTTCCCAAGTCAGTAACAATTTGTAAGCTTAAGAAAAAATTAAATCACCCTAAATATAATTATTCACACTACAAAATTTCTTTATTCATAGTCCCTAAATATTACTGAATAATCACAAAATTTAGAGAATAGATTTAAACTCTTCCAGTCTCTCAGATAATGGTATTCCTCAATCACCCAGGAGGCTGTGTATAATTACTTCTTTCCCTGGATAATTCCCTAGGCAAGGAGGAAGGCAATCAACCAGGGAAGAGATGGTCCCAGTGGGATTTGGGGACAAAACTACCTAACGAGTATTAAGTGAATTGGAAGTGTAAGTTTAAAGAGAAAAAGCAATTGGAGAGGTAGATTGGGCAGTGCTAGAGGAATAGGAAAAAAAAAACAAAACCTTCCTCTCTTTGAAAGATGGAGGTTCTGCTCAATGGTGGCAATTTGCCTTATCTGTGTTAGTCTCCTGGATTTCCTGAGCTGCCAGGGCAGATTAACACGCCAAACATCCATCATATCCTCATTAAAAATAAGTAAACACAGGATATCTGTGTTTTCTTTACCTATCTTGGTCTGTCTAAAACTAATCCAGTTCTGTTATTTTAGAGAAAAGTATCTGAAAATATGTTTCACAGCTATTTACTCTAGTTCTAATGTCAAGAAAACACATGACATTTTCTGTTGCTGTATCTACTACAGGTTCGTGCTCTCTATTCACCCCTGGCTGCCCAAAGTTTCTTGCCAATTAATTTATTTAACACAGGCAGTTCCTGACTGATCCAAACTGTTTTCCTGTTCTTGAAGTCCCAAACCTCCCTTTCCGATCCTCACGCTGCAGATGACCTTCCCTCCACTTTCCTGAGAAGAATGGGGTTCCCTCAATTCTGGTTCACTAAACTTAAAGCTTTTGTGTATCATCTTTTATCCTTACCCTCTTCCTAGTTCTCTGAAAATGTGATGACCTTAGTCCTACCTATTACCATCTTCTCCAGAAGACACGCCTGATCTCTTCTCTTGTGTATTTATTTAGTCACTTCTTTTACCCTTTTTTCTTTTATAAGTAAGCCCAAGTCTCCCCATCCTAAAAACCAGTCATCGCCTGGATGACTCTAACCTTTGAGCCTAATTCTACTTCTCTGAGCCCCTCCTCCCCTGTCTTCCCCTCTATGTCCTCCTCAACTTTCCCCTAGAATTTAGAATTTCTCTTTTTTCCTGTCTTTGTTCAGCCTTGACATCTCAGTCTCTTTCACATCTACATTTGATAATAAAACGTTCTCTGTTTTGCAGGTTCTTGCAACTATGGAAAGACTAGAGAAGGTGAATAGCTTTCAAGAGTTTGTCCAAATATTCAGTCAATTTGGAAATGAAATGGTGGAGTTTGCACATCTAACCGGAGATAGACAAAATGTATGTATTTACCACATTTTAAAACTTTCAAATACATGCATTCTTTCCTTACGCACCTATAACAGTTAAATATATTCCCACCTCACACGCTGGGATAGGCCATTCTTGCCTTCAAGGCCCAACTCAAGTATTTCCTCTTTTATGAAACTTTCCATTTGATTCTTCAACCAGGGCTCAGGAAAGTAAATGAGTCATATATAGTCTTATAGTATTTTGTTACATATCTCTGTTATTATTCTTTCTGTAATTTGTTATGTATTATTCAGTTTTTATTTCTTTCTATATTCTACATTAGATTAATAGTCCAAGTTATTTATTTGCGTTGGCTATATGTTAGGTATTTAATATCCATGATCTCAATTAATTTTCAAAACATCCCTATAAGTAGATATTGTTATTACTGTTTCACACATGAGGAAACTGAACCTGAGAGGATAATAAACTTACCCAAAGTCACTCTTTTAGCAGATTGAACTCACTTACGTTGATTCTAAAGCCTGTAGTTTTCAAACTATGCCGTGGTATTGGTTCTTTACAGATCTGTTTCCCAATTCATTCTGTAAGTTCCAAAGTTTAGGGAGGTGGAAAACTATATTATATCCAGAATTGACTTTTCCTTGTTGGGGTATTTGTGCATGAGCTCATCTTGTCAGCAGGTTAAATATATAATAATTGACCTTTTCTCAAGGTGCTTTGGTATAGTCCGATAGGCTACAGTTCTGGGCATGAACTTTCCTTGTTGTAGCTGGAGTTGGAAGATAGATACTGGCCTGGACAGTGGCAGACTATATGTGATGCTTCATTTAGTACTTCTTGGACCATCAGTGTTTTATAGAAGTCTCCGTTTTGTCTTGTGGACTAGCACTGTAACAGATTCAGATGCCATCTTTATTGATCACTGCCCACCACCATACAATTTATGGTATCATATATGACATACATTCTTGATGCATTGTCAGCTAGACCCATAGGTAATTTTGCAGAAAAGTCCTCTTCAGTATGTTAAAGACAAGGTGGAAATTTTAGAAGAGACCTTGACCTTTATTTTTGATAGATACTCATGATGGGTGATATTCATATGTAGGACATTGTCCTTTGGAATGCAATCTTGAGACCTCAATTAACTTTTGTATCATGTACTGTTTCTTGTGTACTAGGTATAAATTCATTTATTTCTTTCCTAGTAATAAAACTATATTGGGATGCAAGTGAGTAAGAGTGTTATTATAGGGATAATTTCAAATCTACTATAATAATTTACTAAAACAAATAAAAGGCAAATCACTCTCAAACTTTAGATCTTCGTTATTTGTAAGTAAGGGCTTTTCACCCAACTCACAAATGAAAAATGAGTAACTAATGTGGCAGGTGAAACTTATATGTAATTCAAATTTTAACATTAGTAAAATTGTATTAGAACACAGCATGCTAATTTATGTATTGTCTAGGACAGCTGTCACAGTACAGTGGTAGAATTGAGTAGTTGTGACAGGTCCAGAAAGCCTAGAAAATTTATTTTCTGGGCTTTTATTGAAGATATTTGCTGACCTCTGATTTAGATGGTCATAACCAAATTATTATGAAGAGTATTTGGTTCTATATTTGCTAAGCAATATTTGATACCTTCTGTGATAGCACACATCCAATCAAGGGCTCTATGAAGAGAAATCAAAGGAAAAAATTTCAGTATACTGTTCTTGCTTCAGAGTTCATAATCTAGTCTGGGAAAATCATGTATCTATGAAACATCTGGAGAAAATTTCAGAGCAGCATATTTATTAAGTTTAGGACAAACCTCATAAACCTCATATTGAGATGAATAAGCACTTAAATGGGATTAGTCAGACATGGTTCCTATCAATTCTGAAGGAAATAATAGCCCATAGCTGTTCAATAAATAAGTCACTTTTAATTAAGTAAAGCTTAAGATGGTTGTTTCTGGTTAGGAGTGAGGTATGTCCTCAAGGGTATGAGACTGTCAGTTGTGGCAAGCCAGCAGGACGTGAGCCACATGGCAGCCTCTTCCTAGGTCTTGTTTCCTGGCTCTGCTGCCCGTAACAGGGGTGCCTGTGTCTTTCCACTCCACTGTGTTCATGTATTTAGATTGAAGTGGTGACATTTTGTAAAACTTTAGTTTTGTTTTGTTTTGTTTTTCACTTTGTCACTTTTTTAACAATGTTACTTAATTGTTGAGTATTGTTATTGTTGAGTAAATGATTTTTCAAGAAATTGGGTTGTTCACATGGTCCTAGACTGCTCAACAATTTTATTTCATTTTTAGGATTTGAAAGATGAAAAGAAAAAGGCAAAAATGGCAGCAGCTAGGGCAGTTCTTGAAAAATGTACAATGATGCTTCTCACAGCTTCAAAGGTAAGACAATTTTTGTTTTACCGTGTTGTAAATTAATTAGAGACCCTGATTAAATGCATCTAATTTGTATATTTCACATTTTAGAAAAGATCAAAGTGATAAATTGGAATATAGGCTCTCATAGTCAAAGCTCAGTTATCCTTTAGCAAGAACGCTAACTTTCTTCCCCCGTTCCAAACAGCGGTTAATCTACGGAGTCAGCTTTGATTGAGCAATGAAGCAGAAGATGGTGTATTAGGTGCTGTGACTCCAGGCCCATCCCACATGCTCACTGCCTGCAGGGTTTTGCCATTGTCGTTGGGAAGCCAGCCACGTGCTCTAGCAAAGGCTAGGCAAGTTAGAATCTGTTAAGTAACAGGAGTATTAAGTCAACTCTTCGTGTGTTTATTCTGTAAATTCATATCTCTAATTTCTTAAAGATATGAACAAAGATTGTCAATCGACTTTAAATAAAACTGTCAATCAAGAGCTTATAATTCCAAACAGCAATTGGCCAGCAGATTGGTACAATTCAAGAAGAACTAGTAAACATTTCATTAGCATTGTTTAGAATTGCCTTTTCTGCTCAGAATATTTACTCTATGCTGGGGTGAGTGAATACACAAAACCAGAATTCACTGGAGCCCACTTGAAAGGCTGTGTTTGTGTCCAGACCCTTGAGTAGTTTTTCATTTACAACGGTTTTAAAAGTCAAAGATACCACAGTCATATATCATGTGTTCATTTTTTCCTCATTCTTTTTAAGTTCTTGCACATATAAGACATTTTAAAATATTTTTAATCATAATGAAGATATAGGTTTTTTTCCCCCAAATTTTAAGTAAACTTATTATTGAAGTATAAAGATATAGTTTTACACTCTGCCTTTTTCACTTAACCTTGCTATCGCTTTTTACTCATCCTGCTTCCACTTTTAGTGAGGAGAAGCAGCTGGGTGAGCCAGGGACCCAGGAGATTTTGGTAAAGAACCATTTTTATTAGCATGACATGTTCTCTGTAAGATTTTGTGTGTTATGATATGGCTCAGATCTTAAAATAAAAAGTTTCAATTGTTTTGAAGACATGTCTCAGGCATCCCAACTGTGAATCGGCCCATAAAAACAAAGAAGGAGTATTTGACCGAATGAAAGTGGCATTGGATAAGGTAATTGAAATTGTGACTGACTGCAAACCCAATGGAGAGACTGACATTTCATCTATCACTGTTTTTACTGGAATTAAAGAATTCAAGGTAAGAATAAAGAGAATATATTTTGATTTTTTTCTTTCCATTTCAAAGGAACATCGCTATATGTCATACCTATATTTTAGGATAGATGCTTCATAAAAGCAGATTTCTCTTTAAAACAATGCCACAATGTACAAACTTAATGATCAGTAACATTTGACTTAGTGTGGTATGTACAAAGAACAGAGTCTTGGGTCATAGTAGATACTCTGGCCCTGTTCAGCTATATGGTTTAGCTGTAGCCTCCTGTCATCTGTAGAAAGGTGTTCCTAACCAGGTCTTTTGAGCAATGCTGTACCATCCACTGATGATAACAGACAGCAAATCATTTCTGCTGGAATCTTTGCTCTCCTCTGTGTTGTAGGGTTGATATAATTAAAATATTAAAATGAACAATAATACATGCTAACATTTATTGAGCACTTACTGTGTGCCAGCCCTGTTCTGAGTACTTTAAATGTATGTATATGTATAATTCTTATAAGAACTATTATTATTCTCATTACGCTGTTGAGGAGACTGAGGAAAAGAGATTAAGAAACTTGCCATCTAGGAAGTGCCAGAGTTGAGGTTTGAGGGATTCAAACCTAGCCAGTCTGACTTCAGAATCTCTACCATTTTAGGGCAGAACTTCTCATCAGAAGTCAGAGAGGTGGTGAAGCTGCTCTTTGGGTCAGAGCAGTGTCTGGGTCAGGGGAACCCTGGAAACCATTTAGCACAACACCCTTAATTTAATAAATGGGAAAACTAGGGCCCTAAGAAGTTACCTAACATGCTCTGAGTTACCACCTCTCTCATAGGCAGGGCTGTGACGTGGATGGTATCGTTTGCATCTTTACTGTACTTGTAATTGTGTGAAGGTCTAAGGAGGAACTTAGAACAAAAGAAAGTAATTGAAGGAACATTTACATTTACTTTTAGGGGCTCTGCTCTTAACAAATATTATCTCATTTAATCCCTAATTTCCTTTTTAGGTGGATGTTATCATACCTGATTTTTGAGGAGAAAAGCTAAAAAGTAATGAAACCCTCCTTTAGAATGAGGATTCTCTAATCCCAAAGTTCATGACCTTTTAATTTACCCCTCTGGGTTTGTTTATATGCTGCCAGCCCTACCCTAAATCTCTTCCTGTGGGGAAGGAAGCTACAAGGAAGGACCAGTCATTCTGGAGGGCAGAGCTGTCATGAATAGACTCAGTCTCACTAGCAGTGGTTACTCTTTTGGCCTCTTACTTTTTTTCTGACAGAGAATATATTCTGTAGAGGGAATACTTTACTGTGTTTGGTACAAATGTTATAAAACCATAAAACAGAATGGCCTTTCAAAAACCACTCTACTAAGTTACCATTTGAAAACGTATTGATGTTCTCTCTAAAGGGGAAGTCTAAACCTTCATGTAATTAGCGTGGTCCACATGACCGATTTTTTTATGTTGTAATTCTGTTCAAATTCTTAAATTCTCAGATCCTCCTTGCCAATTCCATACCTCACTTTTATCCATGTTCTTTCTTAGCTTAAAAAAAAAAATCCTGTCTTCATAGGATGGAATGACACTGGAGACAACTTGGGCCAGGAGGAGAAGGAGGGCAGCAAGTACTCCCTTACAGCTGCTTGACCTTCCCAAATCCTGATATTTTCTTGGGTCACACGTAAGGATTAACTTGCAGTAGTATTTGTGAAAGGACTTTATTGTGCTAAACAGATGTAAGATGTCTTTCTCAGCACATTCGTTGTGACCACAATCATGATCATTACCACTTCTTGCCTCTTGGCCCGAGTTGTTTCTGTGACATAGCCCATTTCATGGGCTAGAGGTTAAAATAGGGTTGAAGTGGCATAGCCCATCTTAGAAAGCTGAGAGACAGGATGATGGCATCAGTGAACATGTGCACCTCACATTTTGAAGGAACTCTAAGCACAAGATACTGAAGTGAAGCATTGTTTGGGAACTTGGGAGGTGAGATAGACAGTTGGAGAGGTATTTAAAGACAGGACCCTAGAGGATTTTGTAGTATTACAATAGAGCTTTGGGCTGGATTTCATAAGTGGTAAGGAGCAGTTAGAGGGAATTGGCCATATCAGAAGCTTTACCTTTTAGAAAGATTATACAGGCCCCGTGGTAGAGAATGTTTTGATCAGGGAGGTGCTGTAGAGAACATGAGACAAAAGGTAGGGAAACCACTTAGGAGAATTTTGCTGTATTAATTAAGGAAAAGTTGATGCCCAACCCAGTCCTTCCCCTCTGCCCTCCACACCCTTCCCCACTGGGTGCAGTACATATTCATATTTGGGTGTAACTTTTTCTAGAACTTCGCCTCAGCATTTTCTCAGATGCAGATCCTTTACCTGCAGGCTGGTTCATTTTTTCATACCAGTTACTACATGATAATGCTTCTTCTGCCTTAGTATTCGCTGATCTCATAGGAATGTTGTATTAACAAGAATTGGAATGAAGCTCTGCGTGGCCATTGGTGGCTCTTGAGCAATGTGTCCTCCTGGATTAGTGGAGAATATAGTCATCACTGGAGGCTACAACACCCCAGAGCCCTCAGACGGGGAAAGAAATTGCCAGTGTCTTCCTGGGCACTGCTAGAAATTACAATTCGTTTTGGTTAGGTGGGACCATTGACTCATGTGGATGTCTATCCTATTTGTTCTCAGATAAATATTGAAACTCTTCGGGAGAATCGTTATTTTCAGTCAAAAGAGAGTCTTTCTGCAACATTGGAAGCCATCTTGGAGCGTACAGAGGACTTTACTGATTCTGCCTCCACCAGCCATGAGCACAGGGAACGCATCTTGGAACTGTCAACTCAGGCGAGGATGGAACTGCAGCAGTTAACTTCTGTGTGGATTCAAGCTGTAAGAACTATTTTTCATTAAAGTAAATTTTATGTAATAGCTTTTCCTTGAGGGTTTCAGAGATGAGGAAGCTAACGTAATCACCGGGAGTATAAACGTGGTCCAGAGTGAGACAAGGATGGACGTCTTCTTCCTCGTCTCCCTCCTACTTGGCCAAAGTATCCTTGCCCTCCAGCACTCACAATACCTAACATTTATAGGCAAGTTTCTCATTCTGGCCAGTCTAGAGTCTGTGCCACTGTCACCATCACTAGTTCACCCTGTTATCTCCACTCTTCCACCCAACTCACCTCTGTAAAATTCTTCCCTAAAAGGCTTCTTCAGAGTGAAGAGCAGAGGATTAAATCTCTACCTAGAGGTTCTTGGGCCCTGAACCCTTACTGCCACAGCCATTCGTATGTGTACAGTTCTTAACTCTGAGGACAGCTGATTCAGACACAACGACTTAGAAAATTTATTGAAGTCTAGTGATGACTGGGTAGACGCAGCTGGCAGGAGAAAGATCTTTCACCATTGCATAGATTCCTGGTCTAAGATTGGTGGGCAGCCTCTTAAAGGGCCTTAAACAGGCTGCTGCTATCCTTAAAACAGGGGAACTTCTTTGGAAAGAACAGTAAAGACTGACAGATGTGGGACAACACAGGACATACGTACTCAACTTCTTATAGGGGTGGATTACAAAACTGAAAGACAGAGATCCTGAGATGTCTTTGGCACTGTTTATTTATTTCTTAGACCTAGGCTATGTCGAAAAAGTATTTAACATGGTTTTCAGCATATAGCATGAGTAGAACAAACCTGAAAGTCCTGAACAAAAGCGTTGTCAGTGAAGATGAAGAAGGAGGGTGAATGTGGCTGAGTGGACTGAACAAAAAAGCAGTTTACTTCCTTGTAAATAAATCGATTTGTGAATGAAGAGTAGATATGTTTCACAGATTTCTCTCATGTTTTCTTGGCATTGCAACATTGCAAATGCTCATATTAACAGGGAAACTTCACCTAGAGCAGAGTAGTGTCAGGGATAGCAGCAATATTTGGTTTTTAGTTTAAATTATTTATGTGATATCTAATCAGAAGTATAGATTGCTTCACTGTTAAATTTTAAGCCCAACATTCAGTGTAAAGAGTTTATGTGAGGAAATGCTGTCTCTGTTTGGAATCCAGTTTTATCAATGCTAGGTTTGCAATTAGCACCTTTCACATATTTCACAAATACTCAGATCTCTGATGCTACATGCCATTTGTGTTGTTCATTCATTCATTTATCTCAGCAGTCGTTACTGAGTGCCTTTTATATGCCAGGTACTGGAAACCTAAAGATGAATAAGATAAAGTTGTTGCCTGCAATGTAGAAAAATGTGGAAAGGGATGAGACAAGTACAGAAAGCAATGTAGAAAATTTTGCAATTTTGCAATGTAGAAAAATGTGGAAAGGGATGAGACAAGTACAGAAAGCTTTTTAAGCATCCGAAGAGAAGGTACAGACTATGTGTTGAGAGGATTTGAAGGAGGATGAATTTTTATTTAGGGAGAGAAGTCAAGAAGCCTTCTTCAAGATATTAACATTTACCTTTGATTTATTCACTCAAAGAACTGAATACTATCTACCATTTTGCTGTGTCAGGTTTTGTGGATTCAGTGGTGAGCAAAATAAATGTGATCCCAGCCTTCATGGAGCTTACCAAGGCCTAGTGGGAAAGATAGACATTAAATAACAACAACAACAGAAATTAAAAAGTAAATATGTAATTGTACAATAGAACAATTACCTAGAGAAAAGATTAGATTGGGTAAGAAGAGGGTCTAATTAAGAGTATGTGTTCTGAGAAAGAGCCAGTTATGTAAGGGCTTAAATATGAATAGGATTTTAGTTTTAACTAGGTTAAGAGTGATGAGATAAGCATTCCAAGCAGAAAATAAAATAGCTTAGTTTTAGACGTGATAAATTTATTAAAGAAAATTAGATCTTAGATATTAACCTGTTTATAGTTAGAGTGGGAAAATATAACTAAATAATTATAACTAAATAAATTATAACTACATAAACAACTAAATAATTAAAATTCTTTTTCCATTCTAACCATAAATATGTAAATTTTAAGCTATACTTTTCTTATAGCTCACAGAATGATATTAGAAATTTATAATAATTTATAGTTTAAGTAAAATTGGAATTACCAGATGAAAAAGATGAGGTAACACTACATGTATACTTTTTAAAATTTTTAGCAAAACCAGAAAACAAAAAGCATCGCTGAAGAGCTGGAACTCAGTATACTGAAAATCAGTCACAGCCTCAATGAACTTAAGAAAGAAGTAAGTATTTTTTGCAATCTAGCCTCTTTTAATTCTTTGCTAATTTTCATGTTGTATAGTGTGTATGAAGTACATCAGTATTAGTATGTCCTTACGCCTAGAAAATGATTTTAAAAGTTTTCCTTTTACCTAATTATTTGAAGCAACCATTTGATTAGTGCCATCACTCTCAACGTTTGTACACGAACGTTCATAT